GAGACAGAAACTTAGTTTCACCACTGTTAGAAAGTACATAGATAAAGATTTCCAATGGTATGCAAAACCTACATCGAAGAAGATATTTTGAAGGAAAAAAGTTGTTTGAAATGTAGGCCTAGGAAAAAGGACATTATTTTTGTAAGAACCCAATAGTTTAAGTACTTCTAGCAGCTTGGTCCTTACATCACGAGTTTCACTTACAATAAATTACCTGAACTCCTGGACGTTTGCAATCCAGTCCCATACAGTCTCCAACTGAGACATATGGAAAGCGATTTGGAGTGACTCCGACAGCTCTCAAGTTGTAATCGATGTGCATCTATGTAGATACCGAAGAGATGTTTCTGTGCACTTTCTGCTGTAAAGTATGTATGCTGTGCAATGATCCGTCAAAAATTCTTTTAGAGGCTGCTTTTGAACTCGAACTCATCTTCTGTTCAACTATCTATCAACCTCTTCACGCTTTGGACAATTAGTCTACTTATAAAGTTTTGCAGGAGTGTACACGTTTTCCTTTATGTTCACTGTTCTGACATGTTCAGCCAGTTTTCGTGAGAAATCGTGCTTATGCAAAATGTAAACTCGGCCATCTGTTACAAGCACTCCAAAGATATTTTCTTCTTAAGACTGGGTTCATAATGATCCGTGAGTTCCGGAACAGTTCCAAGACAGCTCTCGAACTGGGCGCCGAAGTGGAACTGTTCCGGAACTTAGGCTGTGTGAACCCAGACTAAACAACCAAGCATCAACAAAACAAGGATACTTGTTGACAGTGGCCTTTTATAAAAGTACATATCAAATGCGTCTTGAAGCTCTGATTACAGATCCGCCTTTGCATCTGCTATATGCTCTCCCAAAAAAAGATATGAACATTTCTTGACACATGAACATTTCTTGACACCAAAAACTGCACTGTCTTGATAGCAGGAATCACCAATATTGTGGGAATGGTCACTTAACTGCTACAAAAGAGCGACCATAAAAATAAAGCATAACGTTAAGCTCAAAAAACTGTCTTTGATATATCCAAGCCTAGCAAGGTTGCGTACTGACGACTTTGACCTAGATTGTGAAATTAATTTGGAAAAGTTCCCGACTGCATTCACAGAGACGCACAGCAAATAATGTACATAGATCTAAAATCAGCGTCTCAAGACACAACTGTCACTATACATCTACCTGCAAAAAGTCACTAAATGTCTTGACCTTTTAGGCTTTATATCTAAGCACCGGTATTGAATAGCGTAAAGAATGCAGGCTTTCCTCTTCACTAACAGATCTTATAGTACTAGCTCGTGTGAAGATTGAATCCTGGCTGTTTATGCTGTAAAGCAACGTATCATCGGGAGTTCGGAAGATCTAACATATATTGCTTTGAAAAATCCGAACATTCAGAGGCTCAAGGAGCAATCTCTTGGTTTATGTAAGCGAAGTTGCTGAAATCGTGTGGGACTTTCAACAATTTCATGTGGCTTTTTTAGCATAGCGATCCTGATTTCTTCAACAACATTGTTGCAATCTGTTTGCACCAAAAATAAAGATCCTTGAGATTTTACATGGGAAGATTACTAGTCGGAAGGAGCTTGTCAGTCGTGCGTCTTCATAGTGAGCAAAAATGACTACTTAGAACTTGGCAATGAAATAAGCATGTTAAACTAAGTAACGAATGACTCGCTCACGTGGGTGGTACTCGGCGAACAATGCATGCAGAATTCCGGCATTTTATGTACGATCGCTTCACATTTCAATTTGTTTCTCAGTGCTTATTAATTTTTCTCAACGCAAAGAGCGCGCAATGGCCAGAATCGTAAAGAGTTAGCATATAGAGCTAAGGTAATGAAACGATTTTTCAGAAACTTTCAAAAGGTAATACTATGGGCGTACTTGTTTGAATGAGTTTTTTGTCTAGGAACCTACAGTAACCCAAGAGTCGACCCCTTAATCAACATAAGCAGAGTTAAAACATGTGCAATCGCTCAGCACATAAATCAGATCTCGAACTGCCAATTTCCAAGAAGATAAACTCGAGTCGAAAGTACATTTTGATATCAACTCTCTATAATGTGAGGGTGGAGCAGGCAATCGTTAAACTTGTCAAATCAAATGTACACCTCAAAACAGCGTCCCGGCGGGGGATACCCGGCTCTAGTAGCTAGCAATGTGGGATAGACCGCTTAACTAAGCGATGGTGGAGTTCGCAGCCAAGGTGGTCTACGAAGCCACAAATCATTCTCGTAACCCGGATCTTACGGTTGGCTTGGACTCCGCACATGGTTATGCACTGCAGCGCTCAAGAATGGTCTACGTGCAACCTACACGGCCTCCAAAAAACTCATTTCTGCCATTTTGAAGCGCTAAAAACCTCACTATGAAGTCAGCTTCCCGAAAAAAGCCCGAAAAGCTTTTAAGATTTTTCTCGAAATTTTGCCAGAATGCTGCCTTCAAGGCAATTTTTGAACCTATTGCGATCTGTAATGACATCGTCCTTTGATCACGTAATCAAAGCTAACGCTTAAATTAGATGATGATAACGAAACCGCTTCATTCTTATACCTCTCCATTTTCACGGACTTGAATGTTCAGTTTGCCCCAATACTGATCATTGAACAATCAGTCGTAATAGGAATCCGGCCACTCAGCTTTTATTAAGGATTGATCCTTTTGGTTGGAGCGTCACATCAAGTCCGAATTCGAAGAAAGAGTTTTGAATTGAATACTACATCGTTCGGGACGACGATGTTTGTTGAAGAAAAGGGGTAATTTCACGTGTTTTTATGTGATTTGATACTTCGTTGCGCAAATTTTACCATTTTTTTCATTCTATTAGCTTTCTTGTAGTTTTGAGTAGCAAACTCCGTCTATGTGTCTGTATAGCGTCCATGCGTGCAATAATGTATGTATGTTGGGTGAATGGTAACCACCAAATTAATAAACTTCTCGAATTTCTGATGGTTGTTAGAAGTGTGCGTGTATTTATTCTTTTGAACTCATTTTTTGATGCAGTTTTTCTTTGCGTGTGGTTGCGTTATGCCAAAATGTATGCTGGAATGTGTGCAAAGAGATGCTTGCAATTGGAACTTTGCCCTGGTTATAGGACATTAGGTAACAGAAAAGGGG